ATAAAATGATCTTTAATTATACATGTCGGACTAGACCTGACATCAAGTACTTCATTCCCAATGCCACATCAGTCAGCTGAGCCCTTCAATGTGAGCAGTTTTTATTTTGCATCCTCCAAGCGCCAAACATAGCTTATAAAACCAGTGGGTTTTTCCTAGTATAGTTTGAAATTATTTTCAAAGCCCAAGGAACGCTTTAGTCATTCAGTTTAAGCTTTTATAATTATTTTTCTACTGTCTGTCACAAAAACTTAAGATTTAAAATTTTCAGTCTCCTAATTAAAGAAAATATCTTAATCTTAATACTTTATTCCAGTTTACTCTAAAATTATAAAACGACTTATCTTTCAAAAATGGAGACCATTTTTAATATTTCACGTTTTTTTCAATAGTGCTTATATATCTTCATTCTTTCAGTTATACCACAAATAGCTAAAAATGTTAAAAGAGAAAGAGAGAAAAAAAGAAATCCCATCTGTGTATTTTGTAATGAAGTAGCTCATGCTGATACCTTGGCATGTTTCAACGCCAGTTTGAAAATTAACTAGGCAGGGCTTATCCCAGTTCTCTTAGTCATTTGTGTTGCCTCCTCTTCTTTCCTGATCTTTTTCTGTTCACTATCAGTTTTTACTTTAATCTTAGTTGGCATAGTACCTTCTGCTGAACAGGGTGCAGGAAAAGCCTACACCTGATCATCTTGGTTTACTACGTCATTCTGTTCCCCAAACGTGCCCTTGAAACAACTGGGTCACTTTATTCGGTAATTGTGCAAATCCAGGGAAAGTATTTGAAAGACCAAAAGATAAAATTTAGAAATGTAGACAATTTAATTTCTGTAAGAGTGGCTTAACTTGAAAATTAAAAAAAATTTAAGTTGTGTTGACTCTCTTGTTTAATATTACTTGTCTTGTGATAACTCACAGCCAGCTGTAAATTAGATTTAGTGGGTTTTTCACTTTGTCCAACAGCTTCCTCCGCTTGTTTATGTGTTAGTGTGGGATTTTCAGTGCTTGCAAAACGAATTGCCAGTAAGCACTGTTTAACAGGCATTTATAAGGAAGAGCTTCAACCTGAAAGTATTGTTCATAAACCAATTCAGAGTTGATTGGCAGGGCTGTAGAGAAGCTTCTTATGGAGTTGGAAATACTTATCATATATCATATCTAAAAATGTCCTGGCAGAGAAGGAAACAAATGCTGGAACTGGTTCAAGTTGTTTTAATCAGCTGGACTTATTTTGAGGTTAGATTTTTTCTTACTCAGAGAAGCTGTGATGCCCCCTTAGAAATGATTTTTTTATTTTTGCAACTTTCCTTTTTCATTTACAGGGAAATTTATATGAAAACAAGACCCTTGTTTCTTAAGAGTTATGCTTTTATTTTTTTACTTGAATAAATCCTCTTAATTTTGAAATTAAGGAGAAAATCAGAGTCATCTCTGTAGCACCCAGTTATGATGTAAGCAATGGAAAATTTTCACCAAAGCAGAGAGTGCACATAAAGCAGTGCACAGATCCAGTGAAAATAGTCCTTTTTTCCCTCTTTTTAGAAATGAAAAATTATAGCTATTTTTGGTTTTTAGCACAATAATTTTTCCATATGAGATGACAGTACAGTGATAAATTATACAGTATTAAATTATGCTGAAAGATAAAAGATACTGAGTTGCTGATTCCTGTAAGTTTAAAAGTTCTTTTAAAGAAAAGTCTGGGACGGTAGATGGGAGTGAGAACATGCCTTCTGGAGCCAGATGCAGAGGGTCAGATCCCTGGTCCCCCACATCTGATTCCTGACCATGCAGCTGCAGGCACGTTCTTGATACTCTTTGCGTCATCTGTGAAATTGGGATGGTGATGTACCTTCCTCATAGGATCTCATAGGGTTGTCGTGGAAACTAGAACAGATACGTGCCAAGTGCCTAGAATGGTGCCTGCCTCATAGGACCTGTGGATTGTAGCATAAGGTGTTTCTTCAACTCTTCCGCCATTTTTACAGCCTGGTTTAATCCTAAGCAAAAGAAAGTTAAATTAAAGTTGTTTATTTAAAATTTAAAAATTTAAATTTATTATCATCTTGGTTTAAAATGTGTGGTATTACGTTATTTGGGGAGACAGCTTTCCAATGTTTAGTAGCTAATTTCTAACAATGACTTGTATCGAATATAATATTCTTCCTTAGATATACTAACACACTGTTCCTTTGTTGCAAATGTTTATGAAGAAACAAAATTGGACAGATAGGTATTAAAAATCCTTTTATCTCTTAAATAAAGTGCTTTGACTGAGATCACTTAACTAAGTAGATGCCAATCTAGTACCAAAATCTCTAAGTATAGATTTCTACTTTAATTAGTTATCTAAATCTTTTTGGTAATTAATGCAAATTCATTAATACCACCCTACTTTTCGTTCCTATCGTTTTCTTTAGTTCATAAAACATGACCTCTAGTTCTTAAACACAAAGGCCCCCGACTGTGGGTGATTTGTGCTTTTCAGCATATGCTCAGCTGTGCCAGCACTTCTGAGGGGGAGGTGGGTGTGTGCTCCTGGCTGATGCTTCGGGTTGACGCTGGCCATCCAGGGGAGACAGGCACACGGGCCAGGCGCCCAAGAGTGTTCAGAATGTCTCCTCTTCTCATTGTTTGACTTAAAAATATGTTTACCTCCAGCTCTTGCCAAATATACCGCTTCCATTTTTTATCTTGGGGTCCAGCAGCGAATTACCTCGATATTTGAACAGCCGTTGGCAGAGTTCTGTGTTCTGGGCTAGGGGTTTGGATATGGGAAACACAGCTCACTCTGGATTTCATGAGGAGAAAAGGTCCAGAGTCTACAGAGAGAGAGAGGAACAGTACTGGAGACAGAAAGGGACAGAAAAATGATGATAGACATTGATCAGCTTTGTCCTTGAGGCAGTTTTTCCCAAGATTTCAACTTCAACTACTAAGAATAACTTCCCTCGGCTTGTGCCGTGGTGGTATGACTTGGACACGTGGCGTGACTTGGACTATTCTGACCCGTCTCTCCATCTAGCTCGTTGGTTCAGCCCAGTGTCTTCTCATCCTCTGCTAGCCCTCCCTGGACCCAGTCTTCTCAGAATTTGTCTCTTTTCAGGATTTTTGCAGATTTCCTATTCTCTCTGTGAAGAGGTCAAATTCACACCTGACTGAAAACCTCTGCATACTACAGTGTAGTACGCAGTGCAGTGTGTATTGTAGAAAACAAGTGTGAGGTTCTGTAGCACATCTGGCAGAATTGGCATCGCATGCCTCGCTGTTATCTTATAGACCAGCGTTCTGGGTGGCAGTTACGGGTTCCTTGTTGAGCCCTACAAGGATCTTTGGAAGAAAAGAGCCCCCGATCTGAATGTGGACAAGGGCTAGGAAGGAGCTCCAGAGAGAATAGGTAGCCAGGAAATACCAAGTAAGTAGAGAGCTCAGGATGCCAATAGGCCGCTGGAAAGGGAGCTCACCCCTTAGGTAGGTCCTAAAGTGTTGTCACAACGGGCAGAAATGAAAAGACTCTGGAGCTCCTAATGCCAGTCTTCAGGCTTTTTATTGATTGTATGATACATATGTAAAAGCTGCCAAAGCAGGAGACTGAGCATTTTCTATCTTGAGGAATCAGCCTGTAGTTGACTTAGAGAAAACACCTTTCCCATTCTTGTCACGGGAATTTTACGTTCAGTGAAAGAAGTCTTAAATTTCTTCTTTTCTAATGTATGTTTTTGCTGTGTCTTAGGAAGACATTTCCATTCACAATTTAGGTTTAGCTCCTTATACTCTGATCTCAAAAGTAAGGAATGATTCTGCTTGTATTAATTAGGAAAAAACCACAGTTGACACTTGAGCGACTGGGGGTTAGGGCACCAACCCTGTGCTCAATAGCCAGCCCTCCGTATACACGATCCCTCCGTGTCCGAGATTCCTCTGTATCCATGGTTCCTCATCCATGGACTCAACCAATCGCAGAGCACGTAGTACTGAAGTACATATTTATTGAAAAAAATCCACATATAAGTGGACCCGTGCAGTTCAAACCCATGTTGTTTAAGGAGCAACTGTATTTTCGACTCATGTCATAGATGGCTAACTTTTGTAATATAAAAGCTGTCCTACAAACCAGTAAGAGAAAGATGCGGGGAGAGAATTCACACTCAGTATAAATAACTTAAATATACAAAGAAGATGTCAGTCTCCTAATGGGAGAAATTAACATTGAAACTACTAGATTCAATTTTTCACCAGTGGCATTGGCAGAGATCCCAAAGTTGATCAAATGCTAATTGATGCACGTGGGCTTACAGGTGTCTAGTGCAAGTGTAAATTGGTACAACCCTTGCAGAGGGCAGCGCAGCTGCTATTATCAAAATGTCAAGTGAACATAACCCTGAGATTCCAGTTTTAGGACTTTATCCTATAGATTCACTTTCACTGACATGGCATGACATGTACATTGCATCATGGTTTATAGTTGCAGAAGGCTGGAAATCTGTCAATGATATGTTACATAAATTATGATACATCCACACAGTGGGGCACTGCACTGTCATGTAAATATGAATTCCTTATGAACTGATATGGAAAAATCTGTTACGCTGTTAAATAAAAAGTGCAAAGTGCAGAACACCATGCGTACACTGCGTAAGAAGGGCTGAGCCAGTGGGGCTCCAGGGCTTCCCGGTGAGGTGGGAGGCTTGTGTCTTCTTCGTGGAAATCCATTGCTTCCAGGCACTCTATCAGCAGCCGCCTGCCTTCGGTGTTCACTTGTTTAGGTTCCCCACTTCTAGCAGTAATTCTGGTTTAATATTTTATATTCTCTCCTTGGGCAGAAAATTTCATACTGTTGAGTAGTCAGCATAACTTTCCTTGTTAGTTTGAAATTTTTGAAAGATCAACCTAAGTCCCATTACCTTTGTTTGCCACTGTATGTCCAGTAAAGATTATTTATTCAGGGACACAGAAGGTAAAACTCATATTTTCATTACTTCTCATATATTTCAGGGACAGACGTTTGCTTCAGCCTGCCCAGGTGTGTGACATCTTGAAGGGTGTCATTTTGGTCATCTGCTATTTTATGATGCACTATGTGGACTACTCCATGATGTATCACCTGATAAGGGGCCAGTCCGTCATCAAGCTCTACATCATCTACAATATGCTCGAGGTGAGTCTGGGCCCTCATTTACCCTCCAGGCAGTCCAGCGCCCCAGCCTGCACAGGCCTGGCCGGTGGCACACGGCTCCAAGCCTTCCAACACAGAACACTTTCCTGCAGGCTCTGGTAATGGTGCTTCTGGCCTCCAGTGTTCATCCGGTCGTTGGCGACCTTGTTAAAATGCACATTCTGATTTAGTAGGTCTGGGCTGGCACTGGAGAATCTGTCTTTCTAACAAGATGGTGCTTGTGCTACCGATCCTGGGACACACTGAGGGTAGCAGGTCCTCAGGGCACAAAGTGTCCTCAAGTAGGGAAGAGGGGCACCTGCTGCCTAGACATTTCTGAGTCAGTGCTCCCTTGAGAATGTAAACTGTCAAATGGTAGAGAAATTTATTTTGCAAATTCATTGGAAACCTATGTATACTTTTTGCTAGAATTTTTAAATTTATGAAGATACTTTTAGGGTTATGTGTATGTTGGCTATAGTAGATTTATATTTTAAGTTGCTTTTGAATTTTCACACCAAGCAAGTAAACAATTTCCCGATTTCTCTAAGTACTTAACATTTTGAATACAATATGTCTTCCAAGTACGCTTTAAAACAGTCATCATATGAAAATCTGCATTTACGTAAATTAACAGTTACACAAAGCAAAGAAAAACATGCTTTGCTTTATAGGCAGAAACTTAATAAGTCAGATAGATAGTAAGCCAACCTGGGTTATATAATTAACCTCTGAGACTCAACTTGCACTTTCCTATACTGCTCTTTGGGGACACAAGTAAGGTCTACCTGTCTTTTCAATTAATCACAGACGGGCTTGTCCTGGCGTAGACACGTGGGGTGGTGTGGAGGCTGCTGGCCTTTCTGCCCTGAAGCTGCGCTGCCTGGGCAGCTGGGGGCTTTCCATCTCTTAGTAGAAGCCGCAGAACTCTAGCCGTCCTGGTTAGTCCTTAATACATTGACTGGGATGATTTAAAAACCACACCCCAGCTTCCTGGTTGTAGGCTCGTTGCCGTACACTTGCTTTGCCCTGTTAAGTGTGGGTGTGGTTTGTGAAGCAGAGTAGCCATCCTGCTCTCGCCTCCCTCCCACAGAAGGAAAAGCCCAGGCCTCCTTTCTTCCCCGGCCGCGTGGGTGGCTCTCCGTGCCAGCACCCCACTAATCTCCTCCATGCCTTCCCTCCAGGGGATTGCAGGTTACCAGGCATCTCCCTATTCCCAAACTTAAGGCAGACGCCGCCTGATTTACACAGCCCTCTACAAGGTGGTGGTATTACTGTTACTAGGAAACAGGGCAAGCAGAAGGATCCATGAATTGCTGATCGAAGTGGCTTAAGTACTGATTCACTTTGTAGACTAGAGTTGATGAGTGGTTTCAGCATAGTGTAGAAGAGTCCAGGCTCTGGTATAGAGATAACTACCTCCAATCCTGGTTATCCTGCACATGGCCACCGGTTGCTGAATGACTCTAACCTTCAGCTTCTCATCTGTGAAGTGGAGATACTAGGGGAATTACCAGGAGTACATGAGACAGCCCATAGAGGGGCTTAGCACAGACCAGGCATGTGGTAGGAGCTCCCTAAATGGTAGCAATTTATCCCTTCGTTCGGCAAATATTCAACCAACACTCCCTACATGCCAAGATCCCAAAGATCCAGAGATGAACAAAGCCTAATCCCCTGGAGCTTGTATTCTACAGGTGGGAGAGAGGCAGTAAACAAGGAGGTATTTGGAAATAATGGATAACCGTGATGAAGAAGAACACGGTAATAGTTAGAGCCCACGGGAGTAATAGTTAGAGCCCACGGGAACCACAAAGGACTGGATGGTCTGGGAAGGTCCTGTCTTAGAATGTGACTGAATCCTGATAAGCCCTTCTGTTTTCTTTTTTTATGTGCTTCTCTTTATTTATCATACTGTATTCATGGAGATCAGAACTTGAAAATATCTTTAGGAAGCAAATCTGCTTATTATATTCTTATATAATAAACCTCAAACAAATTACAGCTATTGTTATTTACTGCTTTAGGTGTGAGTAGAGTGGGTCAAATGATATATTTGTCCTAAAGGATTTAAGTTTGAATCCTGAATTTGAGTTCAGAGTTTTAAAACCAGAGGAACTGTGATTTTGATGTATCCTCTCCCTTTTATTTTTGCTACTAAAACTTTTCTTGTTACAAACAGAGTTTACTAGACAAAGTCTAATTCAGGTAATACAAAACTTGAGCACTCATTGTGTGTCAGAGAATAAGGAAACGTAAGTGAAGAAGTAAATAAAGATCCTGCTCTCTTTTGGAGCCTAGCTTCTAGTAGGATTTAAAAAGTGAGATTTCCAGTATTTGAGTTCACCTCTGAATTTTAGTAACATATTCAAATGGAATATTGAGAAACACCTTAACAAAATTTTTCTCTTTAGGTAGCAGATCGTCTGTTTTCATCATTTGGACAAGATATATTAGATGCTCTCTATTGGACAGCAACAGAGCCCAAAGAAAGAAAAAGAGCCCACATCGGGGTGATTCCTCACTTTTTCATGGCCGTTCTCTATGTCTGTATCCTTTTAGACTTCTCGGAAATTCCAACCATCAATGCATATTTTACATTATTCTATTTGGTTAGCTGTTTCTCAGATTTATAGATGTGTGTGTGTGTCCATATCCTGAAGACTAATGTGAACCCTCTGCTTTCTTTTGAGAAATTGCTTATAATAGTACAGTTGACCCTTGAACAACACAGGGGCTAATTCAAGTATAACTTACAATTAGCCCTGTGTATCCAAGGATTCAAGCAACCACGGACCATTCAATAGTGTAGTATTTACTATTGAAAAATATATGCGTATAAATGGACTCATGCGTTTCAAACCCATGTTGTTCAAGGGTCAACTGGATTGTAAATTAATTTAAAGGGTCTCATGTGTACATGACCCTTTGAACTGCTAGAAAATAGTTCTGTTCTCAGTGTAACTGATTATAAGGAAGAATTTTAGAATAAAGGGATAGTATGTTTATACATATTTTAGATTTATATAGATCTATATAACTTTTTCATACATATATTAGAATTTTTTTGAAGTTATCTTTAAACCTATGAATTCTTTGTTTTAACCTTCAACTTAAAATGTATACAATTCATCTAGAAATAAAATCTGAAATTGGTTAGGGAGGAATTTTTGAGCTTTTATTTCTCCCTCCTTCATCTCCTGAAAGCTTTTCTTTTGGAGAGTGAATACTTTACTGTATAGCACAGTGTGCACGTGTGTGTATGTATATTTACACACACATGCATACCTACACTTAAGGTCCATATGGGATCAGGACTCATTCAAAGGAATGTGTCGTGTGATTTTTTTTTTCTGTACTGTCTCTGAAAGAACAATGCTTGAAAGAATTGGATTAATATTTGGGAAGTTAAAGGACTATGTAGGAAAAATTTCTGTGGAGAGTAAAAACTTGTTCCAAGTATAATGAAGTAAAAAGTTGCTGTTCTAATTTAAATAAACTATTCCATATGTAATATGGGTATAATTCTGCAGCTTGTGGATGTCTTCAAAAATGACATTTGAGGAAGAATCTTAATTATCAGACATTTCTTATTGTCTTATATTCCCCGCCCCCTGCAGAACCAGAGAGGAAAATCAGTTCCAGACTAACTTTTACTTTGTGTTCTCTTCTATTTTAGAATGCGAATTATCTTAATTCACAATGTATATATCTAGGTCTCTTCTTTCAGTATTTACCGTAGTTTATTCCATTTATTTAATAAACTTTTCTGAGATCCTATTTCCCAAGCATTGTACCAAATGCCAAAGATCCAGAAAGAACAAGACAACTGTTTTCCAGGACTCAACAGTCTAAATGACTGGATTCATTTCTGCTTTTGTTTTGTTTCATATGAGTTGCATACATCTTATCCCATCAAATTTATATCAACTATATCTAATAGGGGAATTACAAGGATAATAAAATACTTACATAAGACTTGATTTAGAAAGCATAGTCATCTTTTTTCCCCATTATAAACTTGCAAGATTTTATAGCATTATCTGTTAATATAAACTGAAAACAGACTTAAGTTTTTTCCTTGACATCACTTACTGCTAGTTTTGCATGCGATCCTTATAATGGTTCAGGCAACAACTCTCAACGTGGCTTTTAACTCACACAACAAGTCCCTGCTTACTATTATGATGTCTAATAATGTAAGTATGAGATTTTATTTTACATTTTTGAGGTTGTATGGTACTTTAACAGTAGTATTCTGAATGGGAAAAATTATTTTTTCTAAATGTTATTTATTCCCTGAGAAGTTTTATATGTAGCATGCCCATTTTTAAAACTGTGTTAATGATGAAGATGATATTTGTGTTTACTATTTCAGTTTGTTGAAATTAAAGGAAGTGTTTTCAAGAAGTTTGAAAAGAACAATCTTTTTCAAATGTCAAATAGCGGTATGTACAATCAGATTCTACTTGCAGCTTTATGCAGTATTATTTTGTAACTCATTCTGGAACTCTAATGTCACGATTCCTATGGGCCACTGTTTTCTTTGACTTAAGCTGTGCTTGCTTTTATTCTCCCAACATCTTTACTAAGTATTTTTTTTTATTATTTTGGTTATTGTAATCTCAGGATGTTTAAGATAGTAAAAAATTACAGGTATTTGTATCTCACCTTACCATACTTTCAGAAGCTTCTCATTGATCCAGAAATTTCTTAGGAGCAGCTGATATTATTCCATTTTACAGATGTGAAAGTTGAAACAGAGAGTAATTTGACTTCCCTAAGGTCACTCACTTAGCTACTAAGAGAATTTTGGTGATAAACCTCAGATTGGCTCTTAGTTCTAGGCCTTTTCAGTTGTGCCTTACCGCCTCCTTTCTAATTCTAAGATGTGTGAGGGCACAAAATTCATCCCCAGAAACCTTATCTTACATAGTTAGGATAATCATAGCAGCACAGTGTCTTGGTTCTCAAGGTGTGGCCCATGGAACACTGGAGGGGAGTCCCAAGACCCTTCCAGGGAGTCTGCAAAGTCAAAACTGTTTTCATAAGAATATGAAGACATTACTTATCTCTTTCACCATGTTGCCATTTGCACTATGGTGGAAAACAGGGGTGAAAAAGCCAGTGAGAGATCACCACGCGCCCACTGGAATGGCTGGTCCTGTGGCTGCCAGTGTGTGTCAGTGACGCTGGGGAGTGCCCCGCACTGATGGTGGATGTGAATTGCTGCAGCTGCTCTGGGAAACCTTTTGGCGGTTTCTTACACAGTTACACATTGACCTACCCTATCACTCACCAGCGGGAACACAGTTTCACAAAAGGACTTGTACTTGTAAAGAATTGTAATGGCAGCTTTATTCATAGCCCGAAACTGGGAACAGCCCAAATCCTCCCATTAAGAAGAGAGCAGATAAATAAATTTTGGTATATCTACACTGTGGGACACTATTCAGCAGTTAGAGAGAACTACGTATATTCAGCTACATGGATGAATCTCAAAAGCCTCATGCTGAGTGAAAAGAGGCCAGACACAAATAAGTACCTACTGTGTGATTTCATACTTATGAGGTTTATGATCAGATAAAATTAATTTATGATGATAGAAATAAAAGAGTGATTACTTACTGGCGGTGGGGTTGACTGGGAAGGGAGCAAGGAAACTTACTGTAGTGATGGAGCTGTTTATATTTTAGTGATGGGAATGGTGGCATAGCTTATGCATTCATCAAAACTCAATCAAATTGTACACTTAAAAGTAAAATTTCACTATACATAAATTTTGCTGTACGTATATTAGACAAGGAAAGTAATGGCATATGAATATATTAAAGCAAAGGAGTGTTTAGAATTATAGGAGATTTGATAGCTAGGCAAGGAACAGAAAGAACTAATGAAAAACTTTAGATAATTCTGTGGAGCAGTGATAGACCTTAGATCTCAGAGCTCTGAAGGGCAGTTGGCATGGTGTCGTTCTGTGCAGTAATATTCTTTCAAACGTGTGCTGCCAAGCTCTTTACGTTTGAAATGTAAGAGGAGGGGAGGGATAGGAGGGAAGGGGCATGCTCTTCTCAGCTTCAGGAGTTAACTCTAGAATATATTGCTTCAACTATAAGAATTTCACTTGTAGCAGAAATCATATTATTTGTATTTAAATTAATAACCTGGTTTGAGTAGGCATTCTTTGTAGAGTTTTAAACTAGACATGCAGATCTTTAAGTTATAAGGGTTTTCAGTCTTTATGTATCGTGAGGAGGAGATTGTGAACGATTTTCAACCTTATCGCCAGTATGTTGATATAATTAATATCCCTTTTTCCTTTCTTTTATAAACAAGTCCCCCAAATTTTAATCTCTTAGCTTAGAAAGATAAGGAATTCAATATTTCAGCTCTAAGAAAACTGAAAACAGTAGCATATTAATAAAGCAATGCATGTGAGTCTATAAGGAATTCAGAAGTATATTTTGGCTTAAAATGGTTAGTCATCAGCATGAAAAGTTTTGCTTTTTGTTAGAGGTAAAATAATTCACGTTACAATGCAGGGTGATCTGCGTTGTACCCACTTCTGTCTCCCTTCAAGTTTTATAAGAAATTAATTTTACCTAAGGTAGAATTTTAAAACCTGTTCCCAGGTAAGAAAAAGAAAAATCTGTCGGAGACAATTTCGCTGATGTTGCAGGCGGTGCTCAGATATTAAAGGAATAGGTAAGGAGTCACTAACGCCTGCCTTTCACGTGGTGACTGAGTTTATTGCCTCCTCCACGTGCATTAGCATCTATGAAATGAGAGCCAGTCCACAGGATGCTGCCGGTCACACACCAGCTATTTCTTCCCTGTGAATTTCCCTGGGAAACTGAGCTGCCATGTACATGGGATCAAATTTAGTACCTCATGCTAGTTTAATGTTGAAAACTTGGTTTGGAAATTTTAGAGTGACTTTATCCCTTTCAGTTTCTTGCCTGACTGTACATTGTCTTTAGGGGAATTACCTGAGGACACACGAAATAGAGTTTAGTTAATAAAACCCAACTTTTACCATTTTGTCCTTTCTTCCACATCATGTCGTATGCCCCAGCTGAGTATGGAACCTAGACCTTTCTGACCTGGGTTCTTAAAATGAAATGTTTTACATAGCTGTTAACCCACTGACAATGTGAACTGTACGTTCAGAAAGATCCTGCAGGAGTTAACATTGGTCTGAAGTAAGGTTCCAGCTCAGGGTGATTCTGTTTAACTCTCTTAACATAAGCCTGAGTACCTGCATTAATTTGAAAGACTGTTGGAAATAAAAGAGTCACTCATTGCACATTTAAATTGTGACTGTAAATATGTTAAATATCCCTGTTAGTGGTGACTTAGAAGAGGAAAAAGGAGCTTAATAATTTGAATATCAGAAATATTCTTAAAGCATTAATCACCCGTGTTTTTAAGCTCATTAATAAAGATTAAGAGAAAACATTCCCATTTTGGTAGGAGTTCCACTTTTTGACTAATGCGAGTTCAATCCAAGTCAAAACTGTGTTCTGAAGATGAGATATGATGTAAATACGTTGTGGATTGCATTATTAATATTGTAAATAGATAAATCATTCAATCAGCAACATATTTACATCTTATCGTTATCAGAATCTATTCTAAAAAATGTTACTACTTTATGTAAGATTTTATTTTATTGCAGAGGAACTGTGTGAGAATTTCGGTATACTTTAGTGATGCTCAAATTTTAAAAGTCAAATCTCTGTAAATTATTTAAATGTACAAAAAACAAAGTTGTGAAAGTACAAGAATGAAACATAGTGGGATTTTTTAATAGCCACATAGCAGCCTCATTTTCATAGTTAGATTGATAAATGAGTGCTTTTTTTATTGTGTTTTTAATCTTCAAACTTACCACCTTTCACGTCCCTCATAGTGTAAAATTGCATTTATCTACCAGAATTTATCAATTTTTATTAATCTCTACAGTATTTTGAAATAGTCTGCTTTTCTAAAATCTATTTGACCTTAAATATCCCCCTAATAAAATGGAGTTTTGGGCTTCCCTGGTGGCGCAGTGGTTGAGAGTCCGCCTGCCGATGCAGGGGACACAGGTTCGTGCCCCGGTCTGGGAAGATCCCACATGCTGTGGAGCGGCTAGGCCCGTGAGCCATGGCCGCTGAGCCTGCGCATCCGGAGCCTGTGCTCCGCAATGGGAGAGGCCACAGCAGTGAGAGGCCCGCATAACGCAAAAAAAAAAAAATGGAGTTTTTCCCCTTTTATCAGTATTCTTACAATTGAAATGATTATAGGTTTCCTCTGTGCCGGCAGCTACCATGTGTCCAAGAATCAGATATGATTAATTTAAGCACTGCTCTTGTTTTTGTTTTATTATATGAGACTTCATAAAAATTTTGTTGGATTATCACAAATACTATTTTAAATTTCACAAGGCAGTTTCTTTCCAGGTAATTCTGCAGTGAACCAAGTCAGTATCATGGAAAGTGGAAAGGTCAGAAATAAGTACACTTCTTTGCTAAATTTGTTAATGGAAATTAGAAATCCAAAGGGCTTAGCACACATATAGATGCAGCTCTGTGAATAACTGTACAGAATTCCAACTGAAAGTACATGAACAAATTTAATTAGTCCCATAAATTAAGTCCCACAGTTAACTACACATAAGTAGCAGAGAATGCATTTTATTTAGATTATGATGGAAATTATTCTAGGACAGGCTTTTCTCAACTTCTTTTTTTTTTTTTTTTTTTGCGGTACGTGGGCCTCTCACTCTTGTGGCCTCTCCCGTTGCGGAGCACAGGCTCTGGACGCGCAGGCTCAGCGGCCATGGCTCACGGGCCTAGCCGCTCCGCGGCACGTGGGATCTTCCCGGACCGGGGCACGAACCCGTGTCCCCTGCATCGGCAGGCGGACTCTCAACCACTGCGCCACCAGGGAAGCCCTTCTCAGCTTCTTTTAACCTATACTACCGTTTGAAATCACAGAATAAGTTGAAAATGTGATCTAGAACTAGTCACAACATGTGTGCTTTACACTCCAGAGTGTGCTTCCTTGCAATTCTGCTGTGCCCTTCGAGGGGGCACGCCTGTGCTCTTCACCTGGAGACTCACTGTGCTGTGAGCTTATACCCCAAAACATGGCATTTCGTAAGAAATAACGCTATGGATTCATAATAGAACAGCAAATTGTGACCCCTAGCCTTTGAAGAAGTAAAGGTACAGCTCAGACTCCTCACAAATAGGGGCTAGGAGCCAAGCTACCCTAGAAAAGAGGTACTGCTACTAACTAGAGAGAGTTCAGGAATTTAGGGAAGAAGACACATGGAAAACGCCAGCTCACTTACAGAGGCCAAGGTTTAGCTGTAGAACAAAAGTCCAAATCATTTGCTGTAGATTGACAGGGTAAGGTGGAAATCAGAAAGGAAGAACAAAGCTGTCCCAGGAAGGACTTCAGAGTGAAACTGAAATGCAGAGGGCTATAGGGGGTCCCACAGTTGAATTCCTGAGATATTAGATTTATTAGGGAAATGACAGATGTGTACAGGCTTTTGAGATGGGCACTACATGCGTGATGGCTTCTAGCCACAGCCCGCCCATTGCATAGACCCAACACGTGGATGTACCAGACTTACCACAGACAGATTTATTTCATTCCATTTTTTGGTTACATAGCATCTTAGACTCTGATAAGAAGATAACAGCTTCAAAAGTGAAATGTGTAAACTAGCCTTTAGCAGGAATTTACTTATTTGCTTTTTTATTAAATTCATTCAGACTAAGCTCAGAATACTTAGTAACTTACGGTAAATATCATGAAACCTAATTTTTTGCTCGTTTTATTCCCCTAAGTTCCACATATATCCCTAGTAATGCTATCGCAATACTAGCACTTTCTTAGCTGAAGGAGTCATCAGGTCGGTACTTGTATGCTTACTATTCACCAGATCGGAAATAGTCTGGGAAGCAGGGGTTTTATGTTACCCAAAGTCTTACATTTTACACTCTTCTATTATTTCTTCTTCTATAAAATGAAAACAGTTTTCTTACGTTCCCAAAGACCACTGGAGCAGTCTGACTCAATATGAGCAGATTGATGGTTTGAATATTTTTTGAAGTCTGTAGAAAACCGAATTTCCATACTAGAATTATGTTGGTGAAAGAAGTAGATGGCCTACCAACGTAGCACCACCCTATATATAATTTTACAGACATTTTATATATTTTTTATAATATATTAATTTTACACACATTTACATATATAATTTCATCATGCTCTGACTAAAAGAAAGTTATTTTAGATACATACTATATAATTGTTATTTATATACAATTTGTTATATATCTACTATTTGTTAAATTTTCTTTCAGATATTAAAGAACGATTTACAAATTATGTGCTTTTGCTAATAGTGTGTCTAAGAAACATGGAACAATTTTCTTGGAATCCAGGTAAGTAACTCTTAACAAATACGGTGCCTTCCAATTTTACTCTTGAACCAAGAATCATTCTCTTCCATGGAATAAAATGAATATTGCAGAAAACTCAAAATTTTTAGCTGTTCAACTCTTTGGGTGTTGGAAATAACCGTTCCAGTAGGACAGATTGAGTGTGCTCTCTGTGGTATGGTGGGAGCCAGACCACGTGCCGTGGTGTTTGGCCCGTCATTTCCTGTGAGCCACACAGCATCTCTATAGAGCTGTGTACCCAGTGGGTGAGTGGACCCTGTCGAGCACTGCAGCTTCCAAGCCTCTTTGCTGATTTTTCTAACTGTAGTGTGCTGTGGTTATCTAAATACAGTCAGATCTTTTTCATTTTACGGGTTCACCAGAAGAACTTTTACTCTTTCCTAAAATTTATCTTTTACTCATTCACTGCCTATGAATTAGCATTTTGAATAAAGATAAATTAAAGAAATATAATGTAAAGCAGTAAACTTTGTTACTTACACTCTCTGAATCAAGGCTGGCAAGGAAGTTGTTGAGATTCCATGAATTTTCATCAGTCATTCAGCCAGCAGACATTCACTAAGTATATGTTATGTGCTGGGCACTGGCACAGGTAAGAAGGACTAAGATGTGCGTAGGAATCACAAGCTAATAGAGGAAATAGATAGGTAATTATAACACAGTCTGGTGGTGCTGAAGTCAGCTTGATGGGAAATGATCAGGTATCTCAAGTAATTTAGAATTTTTTACATCTGACATTTCTGTATAACCTTGTTCTTAAGCATCGAGGTCATGTTTTGCAGTTTAGTACCCCCAATGCCGTGCATGTTACAGGTATTTAATAACTTCTTGTTAGTTTTCAGGTGTGTGTGAAACATCAGAAACAGATGTAAAATGAGATATGTGATCTTGGAAATATATTTCCAGAAGTTATTTTCTTGTAGAAAGCATAAAATCAAATGGTATATCTTAACAGTGGCTTGACGTCTCATCTGAATAGATCCAAAGGCTACTTGACCTGTGGTAGCAAAGCCCCTCCTCCCCCCACCCCACACACCCACGCCTAGATTCTCTGCATAGCTGGATTCTTGCTTTATAACTAAGTCAGCTAACAGGATGTCCATGAGAGGCAGTAACGGGCGAGTGTGGCTGGTCCCAGCAGAGCCCGCGTGGGATCAGCAGTCCCTAAACAGCGGTATTGTTGCGCCCCAGGATAGTAATCCCTAAACCTGCTGACAACTGGATGTTTAAAGTCGTGTTCTCATTTGTACTTGATTTTCAACAAGTTGTCTTAGTTTTCTTTGCGAGTATGATAAGAGGAACACTTCTTTGTTGGTAAATACATCATTCTTTTACTCTTTGTTTTTTATAGGTTTAAAAAAAATTTTTTTTAAACCAAATACCACTTACGGAAGCTTACCCTAAATTCCCAAGATGATGAATAACATAGAAATAGTACAAGCTTTCCTGTATGCCTGGCCCATTGCTATGCACTTTACATCATTGTCTCATTTAATTCTCATAATGGTGAAGTGTGGATACTTTTATCTGGTAGATGAGGAAACTGGAACTTAGGTAATTGCCAGCATCATCTAGCCAGTCAGTGGCAGAGTTTATTGTTGAACGAGGTTCCCTGATTCCCCAAACCTCAACAGGATGTGAAACTCCCTAAGACTGCCTTGTCTTGTCAGCAGGCAGAGCCCCAGCTGTGCTCTTTCCACCCCACCTTCCAGCTGCCCAGGTGCTGGGTTGCTACAGGTCCCTGCCAACAATTCCGATCCTTTTCTTGCTCTGTCCCACTCATATCCTTCTTCAAGGTCTAAGGAGGTTATCTGTTGGCATTTTTTTGTCAGGTACGTGGTGCTGAATTGACATTCTAATAAATATGGTAAAGGTGAGCAAATCTGACAAATAACATCTGTATGACAGTGAAATAAATGATTGATCAGTAACTTTAAGTCTTAGTGATCAAGGAGGGAAAAAAATTTGTTCAGTTGACTTCAGCACATGTCCCTAGTAGTTATTCACTGTCACATTAAGGCAGCCAGAGAGTTTTACAAGGAGCCTGCTTAATTAGCCGTCCCACCAGTCCTCCCGTGCTGTTCTGGAAGGAAGCCAGGGGCTCTGCTCACCACTGTGCCCCCTTCAGTAGGGGTTGGCACAGAGGAAGCACAGAATAAATACTTGTTGAATGCCTTATCCTTTATCTGGATAAAATAGGGCTCTTCTGATAATTAATTGAATGCTGGTTCTCTCTCTATTATCACTTATTGAAAACGTTATAGTTTTGTCCTGTGGAGATTGCAGGTTTCTGTGGTAGCCTGTGATAGGATATTACGGATTCTCTTCATATTAAAAGATTTAATTTCTCTCTTCTCCCCTACTTTATAGATCATCTCTGGGTGTTGTTTCCAGATGTCTGTATGGTGGTTACATCAGAAATCGCTGTGGATATTGTAAAACATGCCTTTATCACAAAGTTCAATGACATTACTGCAGATGTATGTATTTTAATAAGCAATTCAGTGTTTGGTGTTGACTTCTGGTTAATATTATAAAGTTGTAGAAGAGCAAGTTTAAGTTTACTGCATTTATGAAGAAAAATAGAAAAGTACTACTACTTTAAAGTTAGAATTATAATTTTAAATTTCTAAAAATAATTGAACTACTGAAAGTACATTATTTCAATGTTAAACAGTTCTGGTTCCATACATTTGGGTTGAGGTATAGATTGACCAGTCGTTGAGATCAGGGTGTCAGTAACTCAAAACCATTGTAAACTGTTAATAACCATCATAATCTGTCTACTTAAACTGTTTAAAAATCACATTGTTTCTATTTAAAACATTAGATATCAAAACTACTCTCTCTGCCTAGATTGTTTAATATTTTATATTTAAAAATTGATTCTTTTTCTGTGATTATGAATAGGTTTCTGATAAGTCCTAGAAGACAAGAGCCTTATGTTATATTTTTCTAGTGAAAGCATTTGCTGGAAATTTGAGAGATTTGTTTTATCTTATAACCAGGTATTCTATAGAATTTCCAGAAATAGAAATGAGGCTTTAGGCTTGTTGTAAACAAAACGTAGGCAAGTTTTCTAGTGCAGTCCTCATTCCTACCTGAAGCCCAAAATGAACAGTAATTTCACCAGTTATCTAGATTTGGTTTGGTTGTGCTTTGTCTTAACTCTGATGCTTATTATTTCAAAAGGCAAAGACTTAAAATGTAATGCAGTTGCAGCTGCTACAATGTGATGATTGGATTATGGGTTTCTGAATGTTTTAATATACTTGAATAAAATATAATTTTGCACTTTTTTGCATAAACGGTGATAAAGTAATTTTACCCTTTACTCTCTTGGCTTCCTCCAAACAAGAATCCCTTTTCATGGGATCATTTTCTCAGCAACATAAGTCAAAACTAATAGGCTTGATTCTAATACTTCGTGCAGTTTTTAGTGGAATACAAGTGCCTTCATAACTATGTTCTCTAACTCAGCTTTATATCATGTTTAGCATTCATTTTTCTAAGAAGGCATCATTATCATTAGATATACAGTAATAATAATTTTTAAAGTGTTCATTTAATTTAAATTTTCAGAATTATTTCCTGTGCCTTACACTGCTTAAAATATAACCACTCCTCCCCAGATTCTAAACTCTCAGGATCATAATCGTTGAATATTTATCCCTCTTTAAGAGAAACCTTTACAAAGCCTGTGAACTTACCAGTTGGGGGAATTGAGCCTATGTTTTACCCTTATTGTAGGAAAACAAATAAGAGAAAAAACTACCCAGATGTCGCTTAGTTAGTAGCACCTTCTTTCTGGCTAGTTATTGAACGTCTTATCTACAAGGTAAATCTTTCCACGTTGTATGTTTGCACTATATTACTTAATATTTCATTCTTACTTGTCTTTAGGTCTACAGTGAATATAGAGCCAGCCTTGCTTTTGACCTTGTTAGCAGTCGACAGAAAAATGTGAGTATTATATTGAAGACATAGTCTGAAGTTAACTGAACAATGGTTTAATTCAGCATGGGATATTAATTAAGGGAAAGCTAGGTAAACTTCCTACTTATCTCTGTTCTTGACACTAAATGTTTACAAAATAATACTAATATGTAACATTACATAGGGTATGGTTTCTGCAGTGTTGTAACAGTTATGCAACTTTGTATTTTAAACTTCTTATGAACACTTAGATTGCCACATCATTTTACTAAATTACATTATAGGTGCTAGGTTCTCGCTCACCGCCTCACCTGTTTATAACATTTGCTGGTGATGAGTGAATTGCACTTCTAAAATGCTATTTAATCTCGTAAATCCTTTTCTCCTTTCTCTGTCTAGGCATATACTGATTACAGTGATTCCGTGGCACGGAGGATGGGGTTTATTCCTCTCCCACTAGCTGTTTTAGTAAGTCCATACTTCTTTTCCCTTTTTTATGACGAGATGACTGTCATTATAGAATATTAATAAATGGATTATCAATAAGTTTGTTTTAAAAGGACTTGATATAAAAATTAAAGGTACATGACTTAGAAGGAAATTTTGTTTTATAGTATCTTCCTTTTGGATTTTAAGCCATCCAATAGGTAAATGATATTAAGGCTCTATTTTACGTAATGGCTTTCCTGACAAGGAGAATATTCATTTTTGCTTATTCATTTGGCAACGATTTTTCTTTTAGAGTGGAAATACCTAGTGGTTGGCATTGATGTGGCCACTGTAACACATATTGGTGGAAGTATAAGTTGATCCAGCGTTTCTAAAGGGCACTGTGACGGTATTATGCTTTGATGAAGTAATTCCAGTTCTAGGAATTTATCCTAAGAAAATAGTTATAAAAGGCACATGATGATTTATAGGCAAGGTTATGCATTGCAGTGGCATTTATAGTAGTAAAAATTTGGCAACAGATGAAATAGATAAATATGGTATGCACAAATGAAGAAATACTCTGTGTTCGTTATAAGCACTACTTCTTAAATTTTTTCCGAGGTTTTCACAAGGATATTTTCTACTGTTATACACAGGAAATATCATATATATTTTTAAAATAATAGCACTGAAATTTACTAGATCAACCAAAAAAATTAGTCATCCACTTCTGATATTTTAATGAATTGCTCAGAACAGCCTTGCATATAGTTACTATAATATTTAATTAAGGCTGTAATAATGTTAATTAAGAAGATTTGCTGGCTGCACTTATATATGATTATATTCTTTTTTGGGGGGGTTTTGGGGTGTTTTTTTTAAATTTTTGGCTGTGTTGGGTCTTTGTTGCACGCGGGCTTCCTCTAGTTGCAGCAAGTGGGGGCTCTACTCTTAGTTGGGGTGCATGGGCTTCTCACTGCAGTGGCTTGTCTTGTTGCAGAGCATGGGCTCTAGGTGCGTGGGCTTCAGTAGCTGTGGCACACGGGCTTCAGTAGCTGTGGCTCGTGGGCTCTAGAGCGCAGGCTCAGTAGTTGTGGCGCACAGGCTTAGATGCTCTGCGGCATGTGAGATCTTCCCAGACCAGGGCTCGAACCTGTGTCTCCTGCACTAACAGGCAGATTCTTAACCACTGCGCCACCAGGGAAGTCCCTATATTCCTTTTTGGCTACCTATTCTCAATATCAAAACAAATGCCATCTTTTTGTCAAAGGACATCTGAAGTTCTCTTATAATGCAGAGTCCCATAGGAATTAGCTAAGAGAGGTATAAAGAAGTTGTAGATTATACTAACTGTAGTTTTGACCAGCTTGCGTAACTTTTTTTTAGAGGATGGATGATTAATAGATTTAATGTTATTTAAACTTCAGCAGGACTCTTCTAATAACCACATCCTAAATGTTTTCAGTTGTAGTAGGAGCTTGTTTTTATTATGTACTAACTAATTCGACTTTCTTTTGCTTGGGAAAATGAGCTCCTAGAATTTTGGAAAAACAGAAAATTTTTCAAGAGTAAAGTTATTTGTTAAAGGTGTAAGAGATTGATGAAATAGAATTTAAAATTTTTCTACATTTGTTTTCTACAACTGGAAAAAGGATACAACGGTGTGAGAATAAACCTAGGTTGCCTGACTTTTTTTTTTTTTTTTAAGGATTGGTTAAGTGGTTGGATTTAAGTGTGTCCCTGCTTTGCCAAATACTAATTATTTATCTAGTAACTTATTTGCCAGAAAACTCGATTCATAATTAGTATGAATTTTTTAAATTAGTAGATTTTTTAGATTTTTCTTCAGTCTTTGTTTTACTCTTTAAATACGTTTTTATGGTTGTTATACGAAAAGATTTAAGTCTAATTAATAATTGATTAGCAGAACACTTCTGGGAAACCTCCTGTAGTTTCAAAGGGGATTACGTAGTTATGCGAGGATCCCGCAGGTTTTCTTTTGCAGCGCTTTTCTCACAGAGCGCCAGAACGACACCCTAGCTTTGGCAGAAATCTTGGGGCCCTGAAGAATAAGCTGAAGCCTCAGTAACTAAGATAATTCTTTAATTAAGGCCAAGAGTGGCAGTGTTTCCTTGTAAATGTTACCGTTGGTCCTAGAATGAATTCATATCCAAGAAAAGTAAAATAAATCATATGTTAAGGTCTCAAGGAAATTGGACTTGGGACACATGTATCTTAAAGTTACCTAATAATATACTGGGTAAAAATGAAGTCGTTTAAGCCTTGAATGTGATCGTTGGTTTGCCTTTCATATTAATGAATAAAATTCTAGAACCATGTTACTTTCCATCACAAATGTTTGTACGACAGGTCATTTCCCCATTAGAGACTGTGACAGAGATGACGACTTCCATATCTTTCCTCATCGTGAAATTTTATTGAATATATGGCAGTCCATTCTGTCTCTCTCCTCCCAATTGCTCTTTTATTAAAAGCTTTTTTTTTTTGCGGTACGTGGGCCTCTCACCGCCGCGGCCCCTCCCGTTGCGGAGCACAGGCTCCGGGCGCGCAGGCCCACGGGCCCAGCCGCTCCGAGGCATGTGGGATCCTCCCGGACCGGGGCACAAACCCATGTCTCCTGCATCATCAGGCGGACTCTCAACCACTGCGCCACCAGGGAAGCCCTATTAAAAGCATTTTTTAAATGTCATTTAAAATGTATCTTACGGGCTTCCCTGGTGGTGCAGTGGTTGAGAGTCCGCCTGACGATGCAGGGGACATGGGTTCATGCCCCGGTCCGGGAAGATCCCACATGCTGCGGAGCGGCTGGGCCCGTGGGACGTGGCTGATGAGCCTGCGCGTCCGGAGCCTGTGCTCCGCAGCGGGAGAAGCCACAACAGTGAGTGGCCCGCGTACCGCAAAAAAAAAAAAAATGTATCTTACGATATTTATTTAGAGACCCTTCCATTTGATGATAACCTTACTAGATAAGGTCAGTTATTTTCCCTGATTTTCTATTTTCACATAGCAGTCCCCCTATACCCTAATATGTGGGCTCATTATTAAGCTGAACTTATAACGTGTAAACATTTTCCAGCAACAGATCCCACCAGATTTATTCAGCAAACTTCCAAGGATAGTGCTGTTACTCCTATGTTTCTGTGAGATAAGTAAGAAAATAGGTGTTTAATCATAACTATCCAAAGGAGGCAGAACGTTTCTGGCCTTTAAGTAATTAACTTTGTAATAGTATTTAGTTTTTTTAAACAGTACAAACCCCCTAAGGTTCCCTTTTCTCTCTTCCCCTGCAAGTCATTGGGGGTTCGTAGAGAGTCAAAGAAAAAAGGACAGAAACAGCAGGAGCGAGGGAAATGCCCACTAAGTGCTTCTAGTTCTGGTAGGGACACATGCAGCAAGATGAATTCATTTGTATCTTCCAGAATAATTTTTATGTTAAAAGTCAGCTGATTTGCATCTATGTATTAACATACAGGTAAACATGTCATTCATGAGCTAGGTATAGTGTCTGACTTTAGAGTCAGCAGTTGAACATGGCATTAGCCACAGCCGTCCTGCAGTTGTCTAAAGAATCCAAATCTACCACAGAAGCTTTCACAAGCAGCCAGATTCTGATATGAATCAACAAAACTAGAACTGCTTTCTTCAGTTTAGACAAAGGCCACAGGTATGTGCCCAAAGTGTTAAAATCCACATGGAGAAATCTTTATTTAAATATTAACTAATAACTCTGTTTGTATGTTTTGTTTATGTGTTTTGTTGTTTTGGTTTGTTTCTGGCTAGCTCATCAGAGTTGTAACAAGCTCAATTAAAGTGCAAGGAATCCTGTCTTATGCCTGTGTCATACTCTTCTATTTCGGGTAAGATTAACCATTCTTGAATATGCTTTTGGTTATACAGTAAAGTATAAATGCAAGATGTGATGGAAGTTAATAGCAGCTAAATCATAACAATATGCCCATCCCAGCTGTCTTGGGGGTCTCCCTTGACAGCATGTATCTCCAAATGTATTTGTGACTCAGTTAAATTCTAGTTAAATTAAATATGCTGTTTGGTAGTAGTATTAATAGCACTTTAGATTTAATTTTAATCTTTTAGTGAAATCATTTAAAGCCCTTTCTGCCTAGGACTTAAGTTTCACCCATGTTTTATGATAAAATCTGCCATTGTAATCAGATATTGTTCTATGTTTTAAAAAAATCTTTGTTTCTACTGGGTTTGCCATACTGATTATTTAGCATGCTCTAGGCCTATGTCATATAAACCCAAAGGAGATGCAGAAATGTATCATTTCTCTGCCTGTGACTGGTTAAACTTTTATCTGCAGATTTGTTGGTCTCATGTGGCTTATATCTTGTTGGGAAAGACAAAGGGTAACAAATTAACAACTAAAATACTTTAAGATAGTAATAAGCGGTATGAAGAAAATAATATAAAAAGGCATTTTTTGCCACTGCTAGTTTTTTCACTACATGAATTTATGATAAAGTAGCCCCGCCTAGGTTTAGGTTTACTTTAGAAGAAAGGGACCCCATCCCTGGTCCCTGTGCTCACGTGCAGTGGCGCATCAGGTGGCGCATCAGGAGCCGTGCTCTGGGCGGCAGTCAGAACTGAGTGTCTCGAGAGGAGAAAGTGAGGAGAGGATAAGCGTAGCGGTAGTGACCTCAGCCAGAGATTCACCCAGAATCTGCCCCTGGGACGAGGTCCGCTTTCCAGAGACATCTGGGTATTTCCAGTTCCACGTTTTGAGTGTGTTTTCTACACTGCTGTCTGCCTGCTAACTGACTCAGCAGGTGCTCCAGAGGTGTCCGACGCAGGAGCCCAGGAGCAGTCAGTTTTCACCGTCTCCACCAAGTATGTGAGTTACAAATAAACTTTCTGTGCCCTCAGTGCCGCGTTCAGGCTACGCGGCCAGTGTCAGTGATGCCCAAAGCAAGATGTGGTTCTGATCAGATTGCATACCATTTACTGTTTGAATGAACATAGAAATGCTTTACTGTATTAAGGTAACTTTCGTCAGCTACTGCCATTGAAAAACGTGAGATCCTCCTTCCCTGGCACAGATGCTCACACTGCCCTGCGAAGTTCTTAGTATCATTCCTTGTTTATCTCCACCCTGCCAGGCAGAGAGCGTGGGCGAGGATGGCGGTCCGGCAGACCCCGGGAAGGGCCTGGGCTTCAGCTCTGAGGGAGGCGAACCACTGGAGTCTTGTGAGCACAAGAGAGCTAGACCCATCTGGCTTTTTGCAAGGGCCGCTCTGGCTGTTGTGCAGAGAATGGACTGGAGTGTAGCAAGGAGAGAAGCACAAGTCAGGCGAGGTCAGGAAGCTGTTCCAGTCGTTCCCCGGAAAGGTGACCACAGCTGGAGTTGAATGGTGGCAGTGAGTGCTAAAAATTTGTCAACTAGGGATACATTGAAGGTGGAGATGTGCAGGACTTGCTGATGCATTGTAAATGTGAGGCGAGAGGGAACACGAAGCACCAAGTGTGATCACAGGGTGTGGGGCTCAGGCAGTTAGGGTGATGGGCTGGCCGTCCACTGTGATGGGGAAGCCGGTGAAGACAGACACGTGGGGCTGGTTCGCCTTGGTTTTTTTGGAGGGTTGGGGCTGGAATCGAGAGTCCTGTTTGGGTTTTGTAAGCTTGAGATCCTCCTAGACATCCCCTAGTGGTGTCAAGGAAGCAGTGGAAGGGCTGAGTAAGGAGGGCGGGGAAGTTGGGGCCGGCGGTAAACCTGGAAGAGTGGCGCATGCACGCGGAAGGTCCTTGCAGCCTTGGGTCCACGTGAGGCCCTCGGTGCTCCGGAGTAGGGAGTGGGGAGGCCAGGGAGAGTGAAGGAAGCCTGTTTGCTTCTCGTTTGACCTCCTTCCACGCCCCTCTTCGGACTTCCCCTCACTGATGCGTCGTTCCGTGTCACTACCAGGATTTCGTATCAGGCCTAAGAAATAGCCACCCCCGTCTTCACTCACTGTAGAACTGACCGTGAGGTCCTTGGTGTTGTGCCATTTAAGGACCCCTATTTGTGTGACGATACCAGTGTGAAGAGTTTTTTTCAGAATTTTTGCCAGATTTGTTTCAGTTGCCTAAAAAGGTTATATACCTTTTGGCCCAGAAATCCCACTTCTGTAATTATGTATTTTGGAATTTATCTTAAGGAAACACAGATTTAACGTAAGTTTTCCTAGCCAGAAACTTTTTAATAGAAGCAAAATATTAGAAATAGCCTAAGTAACCAGAAATTAAGGGCTTTGAGGGGCTTTGTTATATGATAACCAATATAGTGAAGCATTGTGAGACCATTAAGATAATGTCATTAAGGAACACCAGCGGTTCTGGAGAATATTTGTGATGTATTGTCATGTCAACAACAACGATGGTGATAAAATAACCAATTTTGTTGGCGTTTCTGTGTGTTCAGCACTGTTCTGAGCACCTTACTGAGATCACCTCTATGGATTAACCTGTTAGGAAATTCACTCAGATCCACACAGGTCCTGAGCAGTGGAGTCAGGATTCGAGCTCAAACACTTGGCCCCTGGAGTCTCTGCACTCGCTCTGAACTCCAATCCCCTACTGCCTTCTGAAGAGACCCCATTTCTGGACAGTGAGAAGAATGAATAGACGTACATTCAGAGCAAAAATGACTGAAGGATAATATACCAGATGTCACAGTGATTTGCACTGGAGTGTGGCATTATAAGTTTTTGTTGTTTTTCATCTGCATTTGCTAAATGTATTTGTTTTGTAATAAAAGAATAAATGTCAATTTAGAACCAGGTGAGACTTCTAAGTATGATTTCTTCTTATAAAGAGAACTAAGGAGTTTTTCAAAAATGTTCCCCCATGGTAAAGAAACCTCCAGAAACTTGGGTTTTGCATAAGGAACTGGGCCCTGCGGCGCCTGAGTCATCCTCTCTCCCCCTCCCCTCTACCTGCCCAGTGACTGAGACGGACTCCAACAGTAGTTGGTCATTTCTTTCCGGTTTTAGGTTGATTTCTCTGAAAGTACTGAACAGCATTGTCCTGTTGGGAAAATCATGCCAGTACGTGAAGGAAGCCAAAATGGAAGAAAAGTTGTTTAACCCTCCCCCGACCAGCGCTCCCAGCAAACCATCCAGTAAATCACAAAATAAATGTAAACCCTCTCAAGGTAGGTTTGGTTCTTTTTATCACTTCTGTGAATCATTCTAAAATGAATTAATTGTCTGAACTCCACTTAATAAAAAAATCACTGTTCAGTCGATGTTTAGCAGTGCTTTCAAGATTGGATTTCGCTTTGCTTAGCTGTTGATTTTTAATGTTTATGCTGTGGATCTCATCACAGGTGCCCCTAACGCAGTGCTCCGAGCTTTTTCACTCCTTCGTTGGTTGTTCGGTAGATGATTATTGGGCACCTGTTACCTGACAGGCCCAGGGATACAGCAGTGGGGCAGGCAGAGCTGGATCATCGGGGAGAGAGAGGGAATGGATGTGCACTATGGCAGGTGGCTGTAAGTGCTGTGGAGAAAACTAAAGCAGACTCAGGAGAGGGACTGTGGTGGGAGTTGGGGGCACTCCCCAGCCGTGAGGAGCCGGCTTCCGGGCAGAGACCGAGCCTTCCAGGGAGGAGCCTCCCAGGCACAGGCCATGCGTCCAGAGGCCCCAGGCAGGAACGTGCTTGGCGTGTCAAGGGACAGCCTCTCCCCTGGGATCGGGAGGGACTGGAAGGGGGTCCAAGAGGCTGCCCAGGGCTCCGGGTCACCCAGGGCCCTGTGGGCTCTCTTGAGGATCTCAGCTTTTCCTGTGTGAAGGGGTTATTGCAGGGCTTGGAGTGGAGGAGTGACACGATCCAGCAGACATTTTAAAAGGACTGTTTTCAGTCTTTGTGGAAATTAACCTCAAGAAGGGTGAGCCCAGAGCTTCCCTGGTGGCGCACTGGTTAAGAATCCGCCTGCCAATGCAGGGGACACGGGTTCGAGCCCTGGTCTGGGAAGATCCCACGTGCTGTGGAGCAACTAAGCCCGTGCGCCACAACTACTGAGCCTGTGCTCTAGAGCCCGCGAGCCACAGCAACTGAAGTCCACGTGCCTAGAGCCCGTGCTCTGCAACAAGAGAGGCCACCGCAGCGAGAAGCCCACGTGCCGCAAGGAAGAGTAGCCCCCGCTCACCACAACTAGAGAAAGCCCACGTACGGCAACAAAGACCCAACACAGCCAAAAATAAAATAAATTTATTTAAAAAAAAGAAAAGAAGGGTGAGCCCAGAGGTGGAGACCAGTGGGGAGCTGCCTGGCTCAGTGCATGGGTCAGCATGTGAGCAGGCAGGCTGACCAGATTCTGGATAGGTTAGGAGGGGCCCAGGGCTTGCCAGTGAGGTTGTGCCGTGGGAGAAGAGTCGAGGATGATTCCAGGGCTTCTGGCCTGGAAGATTTGGAGGAAGAACTGGGGCAATGTGTGTGACAGGTAGTATATGAGATGCTGGAGATACAAAGGTAAATAAATCATGCTTTAGCGCCTCACAGACTGACAGGGGAGACAACAAAAGTGGATAATCCAAATTGGTGAGTGAGGTTATAGACAGGGGTGTGGAGGGCACAGGAGAGGGGCCCTTCCTGGAGGTGGTGACGCCTGAACTAAATCCTGAAGGGTGAGAAGAAATAGGCCCAGGTGAAGATCGGGGCACTTCAGGACAGGGACCAGCGTGGGCTGAATCGTGGAGGCCTGAAACAGAAGAGAACTAGTGGGTCAGTATTCCAGGCGTCAAGTTTGTTCTGGAAGGAATAAGAGATGAGACTAGAGCTGGGCCGGAGGCCAGTCTGAAGAGAGAGCCATGCTCGTCATGTATGCTTTATTTTAAAGTAGAACAGAAACTTGTGATTAACTTGAAAATAATTTTTAATTTTAAAGAACACATAAGTACTATTGGTGATATGGGATTGCATTCGTTTCAGCTACCTGGATAGTTCATAATGGGTCCATATGTGTTCTGTTAGGCTAGGCTCCTTCAGCACAGTAAGAAACTAATAACCATCAGTCTTGCTTTCAAGAAGCCTCCAGTTGAAGAGGGGATAAAACCTGTAGCGCGCACTGCAGTTTAAGTTCACTGGATCCAGAGCCCCGTAATAAGAAGTGCATTTTGCGCGAGTGCCTTTGTGTCTGGTCAGGATGTTTTGGAGGTCAGGAGACCACTGGCCAGAGACCATTCAGGAAGATATTGCAAGTCAGACAGCTCGGGCCCAATTTGCATGTGAACAGAGGGACTGGCTGTCAAGAAAGCATGGAGTCTATCATGTTCCCAAAGAAGCAAAGGACAGCAGGAGGGAGGGACGACCCAGAGAGATGAATGTATTCATCGTCTCAACCGTGGCAACGGTTTCAACAGGTGTATATATGTGTCAACACTCATCAGATTATCCATTTTAAATATGTACCATTTGTGGTATGTCATCCTTACCTTGATGAAGCTGCTCTTATAAGGACTGAATGTATGACTCAGAGATTGGTGGGTCCAGGCCCCCAGACCACTGCTCCTCGGGCCAGGCTCAGGATCGCCATTGCCCGAATTACACATTAGAGGTTTTGTGCATTGATTTGTTTTTCCTTCTGATTTGGACTTCCTGGACATGAAATGCTGACTATGTCTAATGTGACTACACATAAGAGGTGGAATGGATTAGAGTCTCCTTAGCCCTGATGTCCTGAGTTTAGGAAACAATGTTAATTTTTCAGCTCTGGCAACAATCTTCTTATTGGTTTTATAGGAGGAGGTTGTTACATAGGAGTTCTGATCTTTCCAGAATCAGGTAACAGTGTTATTTGTGTGATATGATCCACATAATAGCTTTTATATAAAATTTTGGATGAGGAAACAGAAATAGTGTAGCCTCTGAGTTTCATTATAAACTCCGGGGCGTATACAGCATGCTGTTTGCTATTATTCGCTTTATCCAAAAGCGTGGATAATCCACATTTCTTTTCAGTACCACTATATTGGTAAGCTTGTGGTTATTATAAGTTGGGGGGAAACCCTTTTCTAATTAAATGAATCTGTTTTTCCACAGAAGAAAACCTGTCTGCTTCGGTCACCAGCCAGCCTCTTCATCAGAAGGAAAATGTCATACCACTACTTGTGACAAGCAATTCTGATCAGTTCCTGACAACTCCAGATGGTGACGAGAAGGACATAACGCAAGAAAACTCTGAATTAAAACACAGATCCTCAAAGAAAGATTTGTTAGAGATAGACAGGTTCACAATTTGTGGAAACCGAATTGACTGATTTCTGTAGCTGCGTGTGCCAAAGATACAGAGTCCCGGGGCAGCAGATGCTGTGCTACCAGGATGGACAGATGCTGAAAATGGCACTTAAATATTTATTTAAGAACTTAAATTATTAATGGAAAGCAAATCTTAGTGTCCTTCTTCCAGTGATGTGCTCTGGCTGAAGGTCAGGTCACGTGAGTCCGCCAACAGTGACCTCCAGCCTTGACTCCTTGGAAAACTTGACGGATTAGGAAAAGTTCCTCCTGCTTGGCAAAGCAGCAGAATCTCTCTGGGCCCGACAGGAGCAACACGGACATCACTTTTGCTTTGTCAATCTGTGCTTCCAGAAGATCGGATTTTGATGTGAGTCCTCTTCAGTATAAGGATATACCTGGAAAACTGTGAAGCTCTTAGCACGATGCTCCCTTTCCAGCCTCACTCTGTTTCCACAGTTTTCAAACGTCACTTCATCTGCCAAACCATTAAAAAAAATAATAATAATTAAACTTAAGTCAAGTGTTCTTACCACCAGGATAATCTTTGAAGATGTACCTGAATTAATCAGAATAAAAAGCTACCTTAAATAAGACATGATGAATAGTAGCACTTTATAGAGAAAAAATAAAAGACCCTAAGCCAGTTTATTTAAAAAATATTAATTAATGAAGGTTATGCATCACTGAGAAAATGTTTCATAATTTTTCAGTTTACTCTTTACAGCAAACGTGAGCTGTGTATTGTTTCATTGCAGTGGATAAAATAGGAATTCCCTTACAGAAAGGCACTTCCTATGCTGAGAAAGCGGAGCAGTGTTAACTTTAACTGTAGTTAACTGGTTTCACTTTAAACTAATTAATTGCTTCCTAAACTGTTACAGTTAAAAGGATTTGGTGTTGAACAGGCTGAAGAACTATCAGTATACAAAATTCAAAGGTGACGACTTCAAGTGGGTTTTCCAAGCAACAGTTTTGAAGTCCATCTTCTAGCGGATGGGGCAGCATCTTGCTCCGGCTTCTGGAGTGCATGGGTGGGTCTGTCTGTGTGCCTGCGCCTGGGCGGGCCTGTGTTGTGTGGGGAGGTGTGGCTGTCACGTGCACCTGTGCCGGGCTGGGCAGGCTGTGTGGGGGAAGGGAAGTGGGGTGTTCGGGGCGTTCAGGTGGCTGCCTGGGTGTGGACAGGTGTTTGTGCGGGGATGTTGGGAACAGCGGCCAAAAGGTGCTTTTTGGTTTTGTTTGAGATCAGTATTCCATTTCTGCTTAATTACCGGTTTGTGGCCCACAAAGGACAGGTTATTTTCCACCACATTTTACCTTGAGGAACCTTTCTGCACTTTTATAAAAATTTTACAGGGTCTAATTTCAGAATGTCCAGGTGTTAACCGTTAACTGTTAACTTCCTTTGATGGTTTCATTTTAAAGTTTTCATTTTAAAGTTCAGCTCTTGTGCTGATATTTCCAGCACGTGACGTGCAGAAGGTAAATTGTAGCTGGTTTGTCTGTTTCCTGGGTGAAATGTGAAAAAGCAAGCTTTAATGCTTTGGCTTGTTCCTCTGAAAAAACAAAAATGGATTTTAATGTTTTACATTAAAGCTAAAGAAATCGAAATTAACATTTATGTAGGGTAAAAAAGAAAATTGTACAGAAATGCTTTTGTGAAACCAGGAATTATTTTAACTTAAAGATGAAAGACTTTAAATTGTTTTGTGTATGTTTCAGTGAAGGCCTGTTTTAGGATTATTATTCTTTTTTCCATCTTCTCTTCACCAACATAAGGAACAGTGTCTGTGAGGAATGGGAACAGTTTGGGGATAACTTTGCCAAACATAGCCCTGATCAGAGCAAAAATATGATTTGGGTATATCTTTCAGTTCAGCTTGAATTACTCTGTTACTGTGCTGTCATTTTTGAAAGATCTTTTTTTGGCAGAATATATTGGGAGTTTGGAATAATGTTCATTTCCTCTGTTAAAATGGCATTCAGTACTAATTTTATAAGTGCATCTTGTGTGAAACTCAATAAATTCAATTTTATAATCTTTTTTAAAAAGGTCACTGAATTTATTTTAATAATATTTACTACTATATTCAGTGGAGTGAATTTCCCACTCTATAATAAGAATTTACTTCCAATTCACAAGTGACAGGACTGTCTAATTTGAATTATTCTTTTGGTTTTAATGGGAGAAAAATGTTTGATTTTTGTCTTTGGAGGAAAAAAATAGACTGGGTCTTGATCTTAGACCATTTAATATCTCTCAGCAAATTAAGGTACTTCATTTTGCAGCTATTTGAATGTCACACCATGTGCTTTTCATATCTGGGAGTCAAGTTTAAGACAGTACTTTGGTTAAAAAAAAATCTGAGGCACAACGTAAGTCAGACTCGTAGCTTTCTCTTTGGGATAGAAGTATAAACACCAAGAGTCATTCAGAGCTTGTCCAAATTTTCTTTGTACTTTTGTACTTTGGCTAGCAGTTAGACTTTATACTCTTTATACGTATACATGGAAGAAACTTGTTAGAACCTCAGAAATTTTCCTCCCATCCCTGGTAACTCAGCAGAGATGGATATAAAGTCACAAAATAATTTAAAATCACTACATTTTGGACTGTTTCAGTTCCATCTATTTATTCTTTCAACAAAGATTTATTAACACTTTCTATGTGTCAGGAACTGCTCTAGCTGCTGGGATCAGCAATGAACAAAAGTCCCTGCCCTCCTGGGGAGGACTGATAGTAAACAAGTCAGTGAAATAACAGCTGCTGTGGGCAAGTTGCCTAATAACCAAATGATCTCTCAGGTCTATTTCAGTTTTAAAATAAATATAGTTCTTTAACAGCTTAATGTAAATCTGATTTTTTTTCCTATTGGATTTGCTTAAAATAAAATAATTGTATAGCAGTTTCACAGTGCTTCCATAAAATAGAAAAAAATAAGAGGGACTTCCCTGGTGACGCAGTGGTTAAGAATCCGCCTGCCAATGCAGGGTGCGCGGGTTCGAGCCCTGGTCTGGGAGGATCCCACATGCTGCGGAGCAGCTAAGCCTGCGAGCCACAACTGCTGAGCCCGCATGCTGCAACTGCTGAAGCCCACGCGCCCAGAGCCCAGACTCTGCAACAAGAGAAGCCACCGCAATGAGAAGCCTGCGCACCGCAACGAAGAGTAGCCACTGCTCACCACAACTAGAGAAAGCCCACGCACGGCAACAAAGACCCAACGCAGCCAAAAATAAATTAATAAAAAAAAAAAGAAAGAAAATATTGTTTTTTACTAAATACTGCTAGTTGTCCACCAGCATCTTCTGTGGCATAAGCATAGAGCTGTGGCTGGGCACCTAGCTGCCTCGCTGGGGACTACATTCCCAAGCCCCTCTTGCTGTTACATGTGGCCAAGTGACTAATTCTCACCAAGAGATGGAAACCAAGGGTATATACCATCACAGGCCCCCTACACCTCTCCGTTTCCCACCAGTTGGAACCCAGAGAAGGTGTGGCCCCTCCCCAGCCATGCAGGTAAATGCACGGGGCTCACTGGATGGCAGAGCCTCAGCGGGGAAGGAACCCAGGTCCCTGAATGCCTCTGCGGAGTGGAGTTGCCCATCAACCTGGGACACTCAGCTTAGACTATACATGAGAGAGATGTAAGTGGTTTTGGTTCTAAGCCACTGAACCTGGAGGGTCTGGATTACAGCCCACATTCATAACACTTGGAAATCTGAAAGGGCCTATTTAGAGATCTTTACATAAAAGGAGTGGATGTTAGACCTAACTTCCTAAAACGGGTGCTTCTAAAAGTACTCTTTAGATATTTACTATTTGTTGTTTGTAGAGGAAAAGATAAAACGACTATGCCCCACTTATTCAGCAGTCAGACTGCAACACCCTGGGTCATCACGACATTAAGTGTGTTTATAAGTGGCAAAGTCCTATTTGTTCATATACTCTACAGAAAAGATGTGCCCTGTCCCTTGTCTCTCAGGAAATTGTACAGGAAGAATAGATTATGAGTACAGTCGAACAGCACAGAGAATTGGAAAGAAAAGGAGTTAGTATGTCAAAAGAGCAGCAGAATCGTGATAATCCGGGACCAGTTTGAAGCAAATGGTACCATGTACGTGACGGCTGAAAATATCCAATGTGTACAGTTGAGAGGGGAAGTTGTTAAGAAAGAAATTGACGTTCCAAGGGAGCTTCTGTTATCTGAGGAGTTTCCTTAGTAACAGGCAGTGCTCCGCAAGTGCAAGCTTGGCCTTGCTGTTGTAAATTTCAGTAAGAAAAGAAAAGCAACACACACTGGCCAGTTAATGAAAGGCACCGTTTTGGCACAGCATAGTAAAGTTTATCTGGAGTCGTTTGATATTTAAAGTGATGAAAAAGAAGGGAATGTATCTGCACGATGTAGTTTGCTTTTCACTTACAACTTCCTTGTAAGTGAGGGTCTTGAGAGTACAGTTGGCACCTTTTTGAGGGAATTAGATCAGGGATTACAGAGTGTTTGTGCTCTTGAGGGGTGAATCACCTGCAAAGTGGGTACTTTCAAAACTGCAATTATTTTCAACAAGCTTATTTTCATTTCATTTTAGATACGTCTACATAAAAATGTAAATACTCGGGAAAGAGACAGCTATCATGTCAGGGTTAACCAGATAAGTGAAATACAACAAAAATGCCTAAATAGCTTGTCGGGCTTGATGTAAAATATTCATGGCACGGTCAGTCGCTGTGCACAGCACAGAACTAAATAAGCTGTGCTCTCTGTTCACAGAGTTTATCTGCAGCCTGACGGGGGACCACTAACTGAGGTAAGTGCTACCGCAAACATGGTGCTGGTTGCTACAGGACATCGGATTCAGATGGGTTCACCATGTTCACTGTAGCCCTGGCATTTTGTTCAGTTCCTGGCACATGGATGCAGCCAATAAATGTTTATTGGATGAATAAACCTGGGATGTGCAATTAGGCTGCTTTGAAAGAAGAGTAGGAATTAAATGGATTAAAAAAAAAAAAAAGGAAGGACAAGTCAGAAGTGAATGAATGAAGGAAACCCTTTAAGGAGGTGACTGTGGTCATTCATGCCAGAGTAACAGGACTTAAGGGGTGTAGGGCATGGTGACCTTGTGGACGTTGGATGTCTAGAATGTTTACCCCTCTAGGAAGTCCGGGGAGGGCTGGCTGGCTGGCTGTGTGGTGTTGAGTCAGGGACTTCCTCCATGTGCAACTGCAAACCTCAGTTGTAAACTGGGCTTGATAATATTCTCAGGGTTGTTGGGAGGAGCGAATAAGATAATGTATCTAAAACTCGGCTTGTAAATGATAAAGCACTGTACACATCTAAGTTGTGCTGACCATCATTACCTGATGCCTCACAGCTTAGATTAGTGGTCCTCAAAGCGTTGTCCCGGAGCAGCAGCATCGCATCACCTGGGAAGATGTTAGAACTGCACATTCTTGGCCCCTGCCCAGCCATGTTGAATCCGAAGCTCTGGAAGTGGTGCCCGACGATCGAGGTGATTCACATGCACGTTCAAGTTTCAGAGCCCCTGGCCTAGAGCCATCACTGTCTAGGATCTGGACCTCACATTATGGGGCCAGAAACAGCTCCAGCTGCTCTTCCCAAGGTAAAGACCGAAGAGACTAAAATAGAATTGGGGAGCCAAAGTTCTCTAGCATATGCCTACGTTTTATTTAAAATCCACACTTCACTGATGTTGCTTGCGCAAGACAGGGCAGTTAGATGAGGCAGAGCAGGGCTGAACCGGTGTCTTCCAGATGTTCAAGCCTCAATGCTCCGCCTACTGCACCCTCAAGGCTCCACCCCCAACCTCTGGCAGTAGAACTTTTCAGATAAATCATGCAGAAATCATAGAGCGCTGGGTCAAGATATCACATGACACTGAAAAGTCGAGGAAGAGAGAAAGGACACACAGTCCACTAAGTTGTGCAATTGGGCACCAGAACCCTTTGTGGGAGACTCATCCCCTCTGGGAGCAGCCTGCTGTTCTGAGAACTAGTGACACAGCAGACAAGGTAGCAGGGTCTTTCGCTTGGAAGCTTACTTTCCAGTGCGGAAACCGGACCACAACCTTGGGAACAGCTGAGTAGTGTGGAGGGTGATGGGTGCTATAGAGAAAACAAGATAATGTGATAGGTCAGGGAAGAGGTCAGGGAAGCCCTCTAAAAGCTGACGTGTAAGATGCGGCCTGAGGTAGAAGGAACTCCTTTCAGGCAGAGACCAGCAAGTGCAAGGTTGCTGAGATGAGAGTGAGAAGGGTGCATTCTTCCCACAGAAGGAAGTCAGCAGGGCTGAAGGGATGTGGGGTTAAGGCCAGGATGCAGCTTGAAATGCAGTAAGAGGTGGGCTATGGCAGGGTCTCCAGCTCCTCCAAGCCCAGGGGCCAGGAGGGGCCAGGATATTCCTGGTTTGGGGGCCAGATAAGGAGTTAGGATGTTGCTTTTTCCTGCTGTGTGAAGAGTGGGTTGTAGGGCAGCTAGCATGGAATCAGGGACGTGTGTGTGTGTGTGTGGGGGGGTGCTTTTATGGAAGAAACCAGGCGAGGGAGGCCTGGAATCGGGGCAGGGCCAGGAGCCCCCCAGACTGACTCGGTTCTGTCTCCACCTCGGAAGGAAAACAGCACCTCTGCAGGAACCTTTAAACCTCCGCTGGCCGTACAGCCACATAACAAAGGTTTCGACTTACACTTCATCCTTGTGTTTTTCCAATACTGACACTGCACGTAGGCAAAATCAATCTTTGTCTGATTTTCTGTTTCTCGCTGGATGATGTAGTGATGAGCAGCCTCCTGAAATGATTGCCCAGACAGGCTGGGACCCAGTCACCAGCTCAGGATGGAAATCACATTTGCATTTACAGGCAACGGAAGGAAGCACCCTGAGAGCCGCAGGCTGAATAGCAGGAAACTGGGCTCAGCTCCCTCATTGTCCGGACTGGACTGAGAACTGGAAACATAAAATAGATAGGTAGTGGGAAGCGGCCGCATGGCACGGGGAGATCAGCTCGGTGCTTTGTGACCACCTGGAGGGGTGGGAT